TCACTGCGCGCGCCTTGATACCAAAACAACTGTATGCTTACGAGAGACGCCTCTTGCGAAGGGCTCCGGAAATGTTGACCACCAGGGGCTCCTCAACGTGCACCTAAAAAGAAGTACACAGTCATCAAGCATTTCCGCCTCTCTCGAGAATCTTGCTCCGCTGGTGGCGAATGCACTCTTTAAGGCTCTGCTCGTGGCTTAAGCGTCATCGTTCATTATTTAAGGTTTCTCGCGGCATCTGCAACATCAGCGAATTTTCGGTATGAAGACAAGTGCAGTCCCCTTCATTTGCTGCCTTCTTCTTGCAATACTAATCGCAACATTTTCTGCAGGCTGGCGGTGGTGAACGCTTGAGTGTGGTCGCTTATTGTGGATTCGTACACGTAATTAAAGCGCCTTTGCACGAAATACGTTCTGCACAACTTCAAAAGGGTCCTGAGGCCGTACATATAACCTCCCAAGCACAGCTTTGTGCCTCCTTGGTTCAATTTCATTGTCTCCATTCTGCAAATAAGTACCGCTAAGTCAACCACAGGACCAGTATGAGCTCCTGAAAGCGTCCACTTGACCTAGGAGCGCTGGTGGATCCAAACTGCGGCCCCCGGATGAAATGCATGGGTGCTGAACTGCCACCACCTTTATGTCTTATCAGACGCGTGCATAGATAGATAACATCTATTTGACATGGGCACTGTAAGTGATGATTGCTTCTGATATGAAATACACTTATACAGATACGTTGCGAAAGTTGGTATGTCACTTTGGGGCTTCGCCAGTAATCTTTCAGTAAACTGCAATGTTCGCGCGCATCTGGTTTTTTCTTTTTCTTTGAGAAACATTGAATTGGCGAGTACAAGGCGCGACGTTCGATGGTGTCCGTGAGGCGCCGTTGTTTCCGACAACTCCAGCGGAGAAATTACTTCTATAGGCGTATTTTCCGGGGACGTTTATGCAGGTGACTGAATTCCGGGGACATTTCTTTCGGGAGCGTTTCCTCTTTTTTCTTTTCTTTTTTTGCTGCACCCATTCAATGCCGAGGTACCCTACGGCTTGTTTCTTATGAGGATCATTGGTTTCCATTCCAAAACACTGGCTTAATTTTTCACATTTACTGCATCAGTGTGGGGTGTTCCCAATTTCTGTCGCACTTCCGTAAAATTTACCTTACATCAGACACGACACGAAAAGTCAAGTAAAAAAGGAGCCTCATCAGTGTTCTTGCCCACCCAGGCACACCACCCTTGCGTATTGAGCCAGGCCTTCGTGTTCTTCTTGGCTCTGTATCGTCGTTTTGTTCTCGCGCTATACCTATTGCATACCGTGAGCAAGTCACGCGTCCACACTGCTCGCGTTGACAGGACGGCACATAATACGTCATCATCCAAGTGCTACGTGTGGCAGCTCCTCCACCTATTGACTACCACGACTTCATAACCGTCAAGGCCACTAGACTAAACGAGAAGATGTGGCAGTCGTTAGAAGAGAAGAAAGGCACCTAATTTCTGCCGCCCGGTTGGGAGCACGACTCCCCTATTCGAGTAGGTGTCACGTTTTGTCCTCACGTGTGTTTCGACGGGTTTTAGGGTGCAGGCTCCTTTCCCAAGCGACGTCACCCCTGAGTAGCCAAGTGCCAGGCCGGGGGATTGATTGTACCCATTTTGCACAAACCGGTGGGTATCCGGCGGCAGTGCGACTCGAACCCACGACCTCCCGCGGCGAAGCGGACACTTTACAACGAGGCCACAGCTGCGGTGGTCGCGCCCTCACTACGATGTGCCATTCATTTCTACTCTGACCCGTCTGGCGTAAACTTTGCGTGAATATGTATAACTGCACGCGAGCGCTATCTACACAAGAACGCTAAAATATGGGAGGGTAAATGATGGAGTCACATAATGAGTGGTGTGAATTCCCGCAATAAATAAAAAGAACGGACAGTGGTATGCAGCGTGCGCGCAATACTAAAGTGCGTCATGTCGCGCGAATGTTTTCTATCCAGGTTTAGTGTATTTAGGCACCTGTCTTTGCTTGAATCCACGATTCAACTTTTCTTGCAATGCGGCTCATCGTTCGCGGATATCTCCCCAATTTTAACAGAGACCGCCTTTTAACGCTACCGCTGTAACGGTCACAACGAAGTACTCGCTTGCTGGATTTCGAGCTGACCGGTCGTGCGCTCGCGCGCTCCGCGCGCTTGCGATCTCCCGCGTCAGCGTGGCTCTGGCCGACTGGACTCGCCCTACGTCATCTCCTGCCGCCGACGACCTTCCACCTCCGACGACAGTGCAGCTCTGATTTACTGGACTTGTTCTACGCCATCCACCGACGCCGAAAGGAGCTCTCGCAGGTGCGCCCCGTCCTCGGACTCCAGTGACCGTGCTCAATCTTTCTATCTCCTTCTTTTTCCTCTCGTTGGCTGTCTTCGCCTGCAGGCTGACAGAAATTAGGTGCCTTTTTCCTCGTCCCCCCCTTCCTTTGCTCGCTCTCTCCTTTCTCTTTCCTCTCTTCGCTCAAGTCTTTTATCCCCCATTCCCCTTCCCATGTGAACCACTGCTGAGGTGTCGCACTTAGCTGCAGACAGTTGCGGGGTTCACTTTTCTTTTCTTTTCCAATCTTAAGAACCACTTCCCCCCACAACGAAGTGGTGTCGCCATCTGTCATCACAACAAAAACGTGAGTTTCTTAGGCTTCGCAACCGCGTGCAAAGGTGGCGCAACATGTCCAAAACTTTCGAATGGACGTATGTTTATCTGATGTCAAGTGCTTTGACTCGATCAATGTTTCATTCTCTCAGTTTGTCATCTACATTTCTCGTGGGATTTAAGGACGATGTATAAATAAAACGCTGCTGTACCAAAGCTTCATTCTTTCACTGAGACCAATGTTTCACATCAGATATTTGTCAAGCCGGCAAGAAACTCGGCAAACACACATACTAACCGTGGACACTCATGATATTCATGACTTTTTTTGCAAATTCCTCATAGCCGGTAGGAATAAGCAAGTAACTTTACTTGACGGTCATTTCCTCCTATGCGCACACCACATCGAGAGGCAGTTTACCTTGGCAGTTCCTTTTTCTCCGGAAGATATGAATACCTTAGCTTTTTATCTTCCATTCTATCGATTCAAGACCGAAAAAAAAAAAATCTTGTAAAAGTTGCTTACGCCTAGCGAACATACAACCAAAGGCAAGGCACGAACAAGGGGGCAGTTACGTGTATCTGGCACCCACCCCCGAAGTTTATTCATACTTTAAATGTTGAGTGGCCCTATAGTAGTCACATACTTTCACATCGACCACCAGTGGATAATGAAACGTCGCCGTCCTCCACGTGACAAACACCTCCCGAGAAAAAATTCCCGTACGAAAACTGTATGTCGAGTTTTTACTCGATGATACTTTGCCGGCGCTTTTCCACGTTCGCATGTCGCCATATTTGTGGCGCGTAAATATAATTTTACGCTTTGTGTGGACGATTTCTCGTTCAGCCAACCATCCGTGCAAGTGCCGTGAAATATTACACGGAAAGAAGTTCAGCCAGTCTCGCAGAGAGAGTGGGCGCATCGCTGAAGCCCGATTCGACATGCACCAGCACATTTGTGTGTATTGTATGCGTGTGGAACCAAGCAAAAGGGAAAATAAAAAAAAGGAGCCTCTCCGATATGCCACCCGTCATGCACATCGACCATGTTGCGATAAGAGCCAGTTACGCAATCTGTGAGCGGTAACCGCGCAACGTGCAGCTCGAGTACTCAGTGACGAGTGAACGGTAGTTGACTTGTACGCGGTGTAAAACACCGCGTCTCCTGGGTTTCTGAAATAGCGGCGACTTGGCGCGGCACATTTTCTTGATTTACCGAGCGAGTTTTACCTCAACTCATCGTGCTCACATGTTTCGACGGGATTTGAATGGCGCAGGCTGCCTTTCCCAGACGTTTCACCCCTGTAGGTAGCCGAGTGTCGGGCCGGGGGACGCCTGTGCCCACTTGGAAAACCGGTGGGTGACCGGCGGTAACGCGGGTTGGAACCCACGACCTCCCGCAGCCGAAGCGGACACTCAACCACGAGGCCACGGCTGCGGTGGCTTTGCCGGCGATACAATGCGGGTTTTATGTGCACCGTACCGTTTCACTATACAAATAACAGATGGCGCTAGCGTGTTCGTATACCTAAGGGGACTTTAGGTATACCGACTTCGCTCATGGGAGGCAGCGGGTGCCCATCACGCATGTCACTGTCGCCGGTCTTTGTGGCCCTGGTTGCTGTAGCGGTCATCGTTGCAAACCAGGGGTACCGCGATTTGATTTCCCACGAGGGGGCACAACAACCTTAACAATGGAGTTGGCGCCACATCGCACGTAGAACCTCTTGCCCCGAGTCTGGCGTCTCGTTCGGGTGAACTAGATTGCAGTGGTGATCATTGGATGTCGGTATGGCGGGTATTTTCAGCAATGAAAATGTAGCAAATACGGATCTCTGTAGAATTATACCAGCACTCGAGCATTCCACACGCGAGCCCGTTATCTTATCATGTGTTCGCCATGGCTTTCTGATATCAGTAAGCCACCGCTCTTACATTTGCAGTGGTGCTTGTACACTAGATAATGACGTGCCCTTTTCTTTTTGGCTGAGTTTATTTACCGCATACTGTTTTTTAGTAAGTGGTTGGGAGAGGGGAACAAAGCTGTGTGACACAGCTTGACAACGCCCCACGTCGCAGATTCACGGTGTCAACACTACGGCACAAGCAAAGCAATCCAGTTCGCATTTGAACCAACATGCTACATTCGAAAACAAATTTGTGCAAGAAGGAGGTATTAATAGGGACATTTACCAAAGCATATTTGAAATATAAATATTCTAAATAGTACGCGTAGATTTTCAGAGTAAAGTTTAAAATATTTAGTGTATTTGGCACACCACCGATCGTAGCTATCACAGGGCCTACTCAGCCGTTACAACTCGGTCATAAATCCACAATGCCCAGACTGCACAGAAGTGTACTGCTCACTCGTACACATGCTCTGGCAATATCCCGCGTTACGCCAGGGACCTCTCACCAGTGAGTCCGACTGGCAAGAGGCACTCGGGAACCCGAAGCTCCAACATCAACCAGAGGCAGTTCAGGGGGCCCAAGAACTGCCGGAACGCCACCACGTTCCCGCCTCGACTCGGGCGTCACCTCTGCTAGGATGTCCGTCGAGGACACCCTGGTGGTTTAAACTCCTCATGAACTTTTAATCAAGTTCTTGACCGACCTCACCGACCGACCGACCGACTGACTTTGAAAAACAATAGCACAATGTCTCAAAACCGTAGTTTTCACGTGGCCTCGAAGCATACCAATGTTCAGAGCATTCAGAGTGCCGGAATGTATGTTCGTAGTGCGGTGTACAAACGCGCGCTTCAGGAAGCATGGGGCAGTTAAATATTAGAGGGCCCTCAACCAGTCTCTGAAATGGAAAAAAAAAAGAAAAATAGTGACCACATTATTCTCTCCTGGGGTTCCTCTTCTGGTGCATTTCGTGGCGCATGAAAAGCGATTCCCGTGACGTCTCTAATGTCCTACATTCTGTCCATTGGTTCATGTACGCGAGATATCATACGTGAATTGTCTCCTGTACTCTTCTGCTACGCAGCCACCCATTCTTTTTTCTATGCCAAGTATGAGCGCCGTGTGCCATTCGTTGATTTTCCTGTTTTGTGTCTTTCCAACTTCACACGCGGTGATAACAGCTCGTAGCTGACAATCGCGAAACCTCAAGAGCGAGAACGCTTAGTGCTGACGTCATGCACGTGCTTTTTTTTTTCAGAAATACGGGGCGAGGAGGAAATATCGCCTGTATGAAGGGCAGCGAAGCAGAGGAGGAAACCCCTCCCTCGTCATTGAACGCAAGGTGGTGAGGGGCCCTTTATTTCAAGCCCATAGAACTAGTAGGAGCTTCACCTTTAATCACTAGGGTATTGCTTACCAAAACCATACGATTCTGAGAGGCGCCGTAGTGGAGGGCTCCGGAAATACATGCCCTCTTCTACGTTCATCGTACACGGACCTGCAGTACTTAATTTGATATGTAGGGTTCAACGTCCCGAAAACACCATAGGATTACGAGAGACGCCGTAGTGGTGGGCTCGGGCAATTTCGACCACCTGGGGTTCTTTAACGTGACCCAAATCTAAGCTCACGGGTCTACAGCATTTTCGCCTGCTTCGAAAAATGTGGCCGCCGCCGTTGGAATTTGATCCCGAGGTCTGCGGATCAGCAGCCCAGTAACTTAGCCACTGTAGACCACCGCGGCGGGGCCCTCTCCTTCAGGTCAGCAGGCATGGGACATTTGTGGCAAGGAGAAGGGGCATTTCAATACGAAATACTAGTGGAGTTGAAACACTTTTTGGAGATTTGTAAATCGTACGGTTGTATAATTCGTCATAATATTTGTGAAGGATTGACCGTAGTTCCAGTGCGAACATCCGTTTACGTTTTACCGGTGTTTTACCGTTTTTCAGTGCGCATATGTTGGTTTCACGGCACTGATCAAGGTTCCTTGGTGAGCTGGATCTGCCCCTGCTGTCACAAAGAGTGTGCTGTCATGCGAAGCCTGTACGACGTCATGCGGATGGCGGGTTGTGAGCCCGGCGCTCTACGTACTTTTTTTTGGGGGGGGGGGGGGGGGGGTCAGCACTTACACACTCACACAAAAAAATCGTTTACGTTGTTAGCCACTCACGGCCGCTCTGATAAACGTTGCTTTGACCCAACCTCGTCTTTCACGACTATAACGGTTTCTTCGTCCCCTTGCCGTCGTCTGCGAGAAAAAAATCGCACATAACTACTTCATTTCCCGACAGTTGAGCGATGAAAACGCGCATTATATGATCGCATAAGACCTTCAATGTGGTGCACGTTAAAGAACGCCAGGTGGCCGAAATTTCCGGAGCCCTCCACTACAGCGTCTCTCATATAATCGTAAGGTGGTTTTGAGACGTTCAACCCCACATATCAATTAATAAACTTCATTAGACGAGAACAGTATAATCGTCAACAACTTATTCGGACATTCTACGGAGGCGGGGCTTCCTCACATTCGTGTTACTCTGCAAGTACAGTATACGACCAGGGCCGTATCCAGTATTTTGTTTTTTGTTTCTTTTTCGGGAAGTGTTCATGTGGAACGGCTAACTTGGGCAACTGGTGGTCGGTGTGAAGGCGTGTGTATGCTTTCGTACCCCACGAAAAGCTAAAGGAAGAAAAAAAATGCGGGAGGTGTCAAATCCCCCTGGACAGGAAATACGGCGGACGTCTAGCTCTACAACTTGCACAGCTGCACTGTTCTTTATTTTAAAAAAGTGCCAACCAATGGCGCACCGCGCATGCTTATTGAGCCAGGTGGCGCGGCATCGTGAGAAAGTATCGCGTCCACGCTGCCCTCGGCGAAGTAGGCACAGTGCACGTCGTCTACCACGTTCTGCTTCGGAGCGATGTTCGTCGTTTACCGCGACGTAATAAAGCTTAGTCGTCGCCATGGCCACCGACCACAGCCAGATAGATGGACAAAACTGGCGAACAACTGGGTCATACGATTTGTGCTCACGAGTTTCTCACGGGATTTTAAGATCGCAGGCTCCTTCCCCAAGCGACATCACCCCTGAATAATCAAAGGGCCAGGCCGGGGGAGCGCTTGTGCCTATTTCGTAGAAGCCGGCGGGTACCCGGTGGCAGCGGGATTTGAACCCACGTCCTACCGTAGCTGAAACGGGCACTTTACCACGTTGCACGGCTGCTCTGGCATGGAAGGTTGGTGTTGCGCTATTTACGGCTACGCTGAGCCGTCTAGCGTGAATTTTGAACGAAAACGCATGCAAGGGGCAAACTGTAATCGAATGCGTGGCGTGAATTTCTTCCAAACGTGGTTGGTTGGTGCCTGTGGCTCACGGCATCCCCGCAATCAGAGTGGCGCAAAGCTAGCTGTCAAATTTCGCCCGGAATATGGACCTTAAATATACCTCTTTCTAGCACTTGAGTACCTGCTTCACTGCGTAATTGGTTCCCTTTCTGCAATTTATCTTCGGAAACCTGCAAAATATCGATTCAAATTCGATTCACTAAATTTTGTATTGGTCTTGCCATCTGTCAACAATTAAGCAAAACAAAGCAGACAAGCTTAGTTATATGAACAACAGAAGGCGCTAACGTCCTGTAACATGTAAGGTCCCTAGATGAAACAAGTTTCCTTGTTTCATCTAGGGACCTTAGTAATTTGCTGTTGTTTTTAGTTGAATTGGTAGCAATTGTCTCCGCACTGCACGTTCCACGTGCTTATTTATTTTGTGGTTCGTTAGTGCGCGAGAGCCTGTTGCATTTATCGAGAGATCTTCTTATCAGAGTTTTATTTCTCAAAAGTACTGAGTTTAATTCATTCTTCTCACGTAGCTATCAATATCACGCCAATAAATCCTAGCATATTTATAGTGTACTAGAGTATATTCTAGTACACTAGAGCATAATATCACAGTTAAGCAGGGGCATTATAGTGCCACGGTACCAGGTGTGTCTCGCCGGGCTTTTTCAGAATGTCAATTTTAACGATAGTTATAGCGTGAGAACAGAACGACTACAAAAAAAAAAAAACGAGAAGGACAATATCGCTCGCGTTCTTCTTGTCTCTTCGTTGTCGTTCTGTTCTCGCGCTATAACTATCGTCATGTCATACCAACTAGCCCAAACTGCCACACTTCTAAATCCATTTCAAGCAGGTGCCCCCCCCCCCCCCCCTCGATCCCTCATCCCCTAAAAAACAACAGTTAACGCCAAAAACTGAAAACCATGCAGCGCAAGAGCTCCTTTGACTAACCGAAAGTTCGAATTTAGATACCCAGCCTGTTCTCAAACGCGCTAACATCCACTAGCTCGGTCGAATGCAGTCCTAAAGTGTTTAATAATGCAACGTTTTCTCGGACTCAACAAACGTTAAGCCCCGAGTCTACATTATGACAGAATAGGCGAATCTCCCGTCGACATAAATCACATTGAAGCAATAAAACAGTTTTTAGTCAGCGCTCGCCCTGTCTTTTTTTTTTTTTTTCGTCTTTTCTAACATTGCACTGTGTTTAGCTTTTACCACGTTGATAATTTGTAATGATTTATTCCTAGCTTCCGCAGACATGAATGGCGCTTCGCAATAATTGAGGAAAATATAGGTGCAAAAGCTCCTTTTTTGTTGTTGTTGTTGCTTTCTTAGACACAAAACAGTAATCAGAACTGGCAGACAATGATAACTTACCGCTGGCAGGTACCGAACCTGTGACCTTCGAATAATGCATCCGATATTCTCTACCAGCTCAACTACGACCATCGTTTTCGCAATGACGCGCATTTAGAGGGTATTCCCAGCGGTGGCGGTTCGAATCCTTACCACCGGGGCGATCTGGCCGTTATACGAAAAAAAAAAAAAAGGAGCCCCACCGATGTGCCACCCGTCAAGCACATCAACCATGTTGCGACAGGAGCCATTTGCGCGATCTGTGAGCGGGAACCGCGCAACGTGCGGCTCGCACTCGTGATGAGTGAGGCGTGCGGAGCACGACAGTGAGTTTTGTACGCGGTGTGGAACACCGGTCTCTTCGAGGTTTCTTGGTAAACAACGGCGACTGGGCGCGGCACGTTTTAGTGATTTAACTGAGCGACTTGTTTTACTCATCAGCTTTACTTCCCTTTGCAGGTCAGTGGTTGCTCACATGTTTCGACGGGATTTAAGGCGGCGGTCTCACTCCGGCGGCACGAGCACATCGTTTTTGTCACTTTTCCAACTGACGTGGCGGCTGTTCTTCTTGTCTTATATAGTTGGTTTATGTGTCATTGAAAAGCTTAATTTTTGTACATTTTAAACATATCTATTAAAAATAAGTAAGCTTTTAGCATTTGGGTAGGGAGAGCCAAGAATAAGCGCTAGTTACATGGTTTGGTCTGACTGTGTGTCAGCAGTGACCATTTTCTGAAAAATCTGCTGCAGTTACAGCACTGTTCTTTGCGCAGAACATTTAAGACATATTTATCTATTTCCTCAACGTAGCAAATTATTCTAGCACTTTTACTGTATTGCTGATTAGCTTTTGAAAAGAGCCAAATTTAGTAAATGTCGATGCGAACTATCCGGCACCTATTCGCTAGAGAAAATTCATTTTCTGGGTGTATATAGAGGATGTCATTTTCCGTTTGAGTGCTCAATTTTATTTATGTACGCCCGCTCACTTTTTAATTATATTCATCTAAATTGGGCAATATTCTCATTAGATAGACCTACCGTGGCCCATTTTTGCGGAGAACTACTGAAGTTCGTTTGCTGAATTTGCACGTAGATAAACTAGAACCCCTGATCTATTTCCTCAACGTAGCGTTTTTCAATAAAGTAAGCAGAAATGCGAAACAAAGCTCGCGAATTGTCTTAATTTATCG